TCTTTCGCCCCGGTCTTGAAATCTACCAACCCATCGATGGTAGAGATTGTTGAAGATAAATCGGTCACCTTCGTCGCCTCGACTCTGTTTGTACCCAAGGCTGCAAGCCCGACGGAAAGTTGAACAATTTATCCTTTTCGGACATGTTTTCAATATCCGGAATCGAGAACCGAATTCCTTCCCATATTCCCTCATCGATTTATCCCGCCTCAACCGTTTCGGATCTTTCCTCGCAAGCCGGGAAGTGTTATTCGATAGGAATTGTTCCTTCAACTCTTGTTTGAGGCACACCCAAGTATCAATCTTAGGTCGCCCGGCGTTCAAGTCTTTCTTGATTCGGTCCTCTACCATAATTTTGCATCACCCCATCAAATACATTACGGTGATGTTCACCTGTTCGTCGTCCCTAATCTTGGCCACTCCGAAGTACTTGTTCCATATTTCATAGAAAGTTTTCCAATTTCTTGGAACTCTTTGCACCCGCGAATGGTTTAGGATCCGACACCGTTTGCTTAGACGTGCCCCCACCTATAGGGACAACCGTCATGCCCTTTTAGTACCATAATCTCGTCCTCGAGAGCCCGTACTTTGCAACCCATCTCTCGCCGCTAGATCCATCGGCCGCCGCGGCCACTTTTGCCACTTCCTCGGCGCGCTTAAGCCTTTCGTTCATGGAACCCGCTTCATTTTTGACCACGGGACCCAAGACTTCTTCAAGATGAGTGAGTCTTTCTCGTATAATCTCCATACCGGACGGTATTAGACCTTAAAATCCCGACCAATAGAACGAACTTTCACTCGATACCACTTGTCACGGGGTCAAATTTTCGTCACAATTTCAACCCAATGCGGCGGCCTAGTCCCTCTAGACTTCAACCTTTTTCCTCCCAATTTGCTCTCGTGTTTGCCCTATCGACTATGGTGTTTCACACACCCCGGAGGCTTTCCCGAAGTCTTGCAAATAATAGGCAACACACTACAGATAGACAAGAGTAAATCGAAGTTTGCACACAATATTATAGGAAAAAATCCCAACCTTTTATTAACCCGAGTAACAAAGGAATACACTTGGATTTCGAGTGTCTCCGCTCGTGCAAAGCACATCCCCCTCTCCTTTTATCACAAAGGATCATTGAAAGTTACATAGGAACTGCTATCTAACTTATCCTTATGAATGCGGACAGATTGGCCAAAGGCAAGTAACTATCGATAAGCGCCTCTCGATAATCGCCCCTTCTAGAACTTCCTTTGGCTCGTCACCCCACGGACTCTCTAGGCACACGGCCGAGCCCTCTCTCTCGGCTTGCTACATCCCACGCAACTTGGACAACCCTCTAACCAAGTTTGAAGTCGTGTCGAACATGAACCCGCTGTTCGCACGCACCCGTTATACATCGTCGTCGAATCCGCCAAGGCCCATGCAAGTCGCCTCGCCCATGCAAGCTGCCAAGATCCCAGCGAATGCTATCCTTGGTGCAACCCCGCGCCTAGGATCTGTGACATTATGTTTGAAATGTTATTTACATGTACTTAAATATTTTAAGCATGCTTGATAGAGGAAAATATAAACCAAAGGTAAATGAATTTCAAATGCATTTGCATATCATAACCATGAAAATGATTTTACTTCATGGTTTTGAGGGGAAAAAAAGAAGAAGGAAAAGGATATGTTTTAAAAAAGAAATGGCTAGACACCTTCAAGAGAAAAAGAAAAAAGAAATGACATTATTGTTGGGAGGAATTATCAAACTCTCGTAAGGAAAAGAAAAAGGATTCTTTTCAAAAGAGAAGAATGAGGAATGCCATTTATATTATTCTTTCCAAAAGAGAAGAATGAGAAAAAGGTAAGGTGTCGATTGTTTTTTATGATTTTTCACAAATTGCATGTTTTAAAAAAGGGTAGATTATATACACAATCGCCATGATGTATCTAAGGAGAAAAATGAATTTCAAAAGACATGAAAATGATTTTTAAATGCATTATGTGCATTACATGGATTACACTTATTGAGAAACGCTTAACTAGTTTATTGTGGTATAGGTGATAAAAGTTTAGAGGATGATCATCGCCGAGGAGAAAGACCAATTTGCGGTATCGTGTGCTTAATTATGTAAAATAAACAAGGAAACTTTTACCTTTGCTTAACTTAGTTTTGGAAATGGATATTAGGTTAAGCAATTTATGGTTTGTAAAGGATGAATTACGTGTTTGATAATCAAATAATATGTTTATGTCCTTAGTAATTGGTTTAGTTTGGTAGCTTAAGAAATTAATTGGTTGCTAAATTAATTGAATTGGACTTAAGAAAATAATGTAGTAAGTAATAGAATTAATTTGAAGTTAAATGGAACCATTAATTAGATGATTAATGAATTTAGTGACTAAAGATTTAATGGTAAGAAGTAAGAAATCAAAATGGTAAGGAAAGAATAGTTTTTAATGATTAGTGGAACTTTCGAAAATTTTTATATATAAGTTTTAATTAATTCGAACCTATTATTTCTTATTTATTAGGGACTTCGTACAAAAACCATAATTTTCACTAGTAATCTTGTAAAATAAGAAGAAGAGACTTGTTGACTTGCATTCATTACGCTTAAAATATAAGTTAACGCCAATAATACTTTTGACTTATCTAGATCTTAGAGCAAACGTGTTAAAAAGTGATATTAGAGCGAGATCGACCTTGGTGATTTGATTAGGATAATCGAATAAGCACACAAAACATAGAGACTAAATTATTAATTTTGAAACAAAATGAATTAATTAATTCATTTCTTTAAACGAGAGGGATTAATTTATAATTTACTCTTTGTTTTTGCTATGGAAACAAACAAATTAATGAAGGGGGAAAAAAAAGAAGAAGAAGAAAAGGAAATTCTACTACCTATTTCCACATTAAGCAGCAAAATTTTCGTGTTAATTCCACCTGAACTATGTTCTCCTTCATTCAAACCATAAACTAAAAGCTCAAGGAAAAACCTAGGCCATCAGATTTCCATTGGAAAAGAAAAAGGTAAGCCTTTTTGCTGCATTTTGGCGGATGTTATAGGAACTAGCGACATCACTCTTAAAGATCGACGAGCAAATTTTTTTCTTTTTTTAAGTATTAAAAATAACAGACTAATCATAGGATAGAGTTTACTGCCAAGGATACTTAAGACACAGATGGTTTGGCTTAGCTTAAGACGCTGAAATAAAATAAAGTAGAGCAACGATACAGAAGGAATTAGCTCAGAATTACTTAGGTCGGTCTGAAATGGGTTTAACCGAAAAAAAGATCGGTCCAGAACTCCAACTGTGCTGCCGTTTTGAACTGCTAAAATAGAAAAATAAAAAACATAAACGACGCATGGTTTTCATCTTCCTACTTAAGAAAAGGGAAAACCTCATTTTAGTTTCAAGCTTATATACCCATTCTCAATTACATCCCAAGCTTACAAATTTTATTGAGTAGATCCCAAACGTGTTTCTTTTATTTTTCAATCGTATCCTTTTATTGACTCATTATATAGTTTAAAGGTCTAATTTGTTCATTTTATGCACTACAACAGTGTTGAATTTGAAGAAAATTTGAAAAAATAAAAAGTAATGAACATTCACATTTCAATCTAATTTGTATAAATATGCACTAAAAAAGCATTATTTTGAAGACAATTAGACCAAATGTTAATGAACACTAACAAAAAGACTTGATTGAGATTTTTTCTGAATATTTAGGACTTAATTTATATACTTTATATATTTGGGATTCACTTGACGATAACTATATAGATATAAAACTAAAATTGAGGTTTCCATTTGAAAAAATGATGCTAGTCATTTTGCCTGTCATCTTCGGTTACACTGTTAATGGAGTTTCTAATGAAACAACGCACGCGTTAACCTCCAATTGGCTTGCAAAAAAAAAACTACCAGTCTTATCAAAGATATAACTTTTCTCTCTCTCAATTATAAAAAATATCGGTAGATATGTATATATATACTCACAATATTATTGCATAGATTGACCAGGAGAAGAAGAAGAAACGTTAATCTTTACCAACCTCGAAAACCCCGTAAAAACCTAGGTTTGTTTTCTTTGTGCTGTCTCAATGTAGCGGTAGTTCACGTTTTTAAGATTAACCCATTTGATATCTATGGAAAATATTTCTGGGTTCTAATTTTCAGCCTTATCAGTTCATGTTTTCATCATCAAGTTCATTGCTGTCTTTTTTCTTGTATGTGGGTTCTTTTTTAGAAACATTCACTATTACGGGAATTTGGGATCCTGTGGCTGATTTTTATTTTTATTTGGTTGGTAGAAAATTGTGTTTGAATTCATGTAGGGTTGAGAGAAAGTTCCACTGTTTGTTGTTTATTAGATGTTATTTTGTTGTGGTGTATAGTTCTGTGAACTGAACATGTTCATTATTAGCATTGATAAGTTCGCCATATTTTGTTTTTTGCATTTAACTTATCTTGTTGTCCACACTCTTAGCTGTTATCTATTGACATGCTTCTTTTTTAAGGTGGTTTGCTTTGCTTTATTTTATGTTTGTTATTGTTCTTATCAGTTCTGAACAACTATGCTGCTGCTGTCACTTCCTATTTATTGAATAACATAAGTTTCCGTCATTGTGCTTGGATGTTTCCTGCTCATTAGGTATCTTCATCAGTTACGAAACATTCTGGTATGCTTATATACATGACATTAACTCTTACAATTGCTATACTTGTTTTGGTTTTTAACTACCAGATTGGTTACTAACATGCTTTCAATGGTTTGGCTAATTTTGATACTCTTATTATTTTCGCAACACTCTAATGAGGTTTGAGTGATTTTATTTTCATTTGTGTTTGTGTCAATGCATAATAACTAATAGTGTTAGTTGTATGATTTTTCAGCTGTTTAAGTTTTGGTTGTGCATGTGATCTGAGGTTGGTCCGTGGATTGCCATGTTAGGGAGACTTAGGTCTTCTGCCTTGTGGCATACTAAAGTTTCTTTCAAATAGTAGCATGGAGAAGAAAAGAATAGATGACTATGAACCAGGGCCACTTCCTTCACCAAGACAGCTGGATAGATTTGGTTTTGTGAAGCAAGAGATTCATAATTCTCAGGATGGTTTAACCAAGGGAAGGTCAGCTTATGAATTTGACAGGTATGCTTTTTCTTCAGTGAATTACTTCCAATATTTGAAATGAGTTAATGCCAAAGGCTCATTGATGGATCTTACTTGCATGCTAATAGATATTAATCTTGATTATTGACTGGGGACATGAAAATTTTTCAGGGAGGAAAGAAGGGTGAGAAATTGGAGGAAGATGATTGGGGTCGGAGGGAGTGATTGGAAGCATTATGTTCGAAGAAAACCTCATGTTGTTAAGAGGCGCATAAGGAAAGGAATCCCTGACTGTTTAAGGGGTCTTGTTTGGCAGTTGATTTCTGGAAGTCGAGACCTTTTACTGATGAACCCTGGGGTTTATGAGGTACTCCATCGCTTGTGTTGATTGAGATAAATGACCTGAAATCTTTTTCTTACCATTTTAATAGCGAGATAATAGTTGTAATATTTAGTGACCTTTGCTTGAATTACCTTTGAACTTTTAAAATTATTCTTGTTTTGTTCTTCAGATATTACTACACTCGCTCACTTCATCCTTTACCTGAACATTTTGCACATTTATATGTTCACTGCAACTCATGGGTGTAAAAGGCACGAGATTTAAAGCTATCAGATAACAAAATTTTAAACCAGATGATTAATTTTAAAATCAAAGTCCATGTTGATGGATTAAATCATGCATTGGTTTTCTATCTTAGTGTTTTCAATTATTAGTCAATATATTTGATTTGGAGGATCAAATCCAACTTTGGCGCTTTCCGAGTGGATGGTATGTTAGGTGTGCTAACAAGGGTCTTTGATGATGGTAGTGCCTAAAACTCTAGGGGTTAGTTTATGATGGCCTGGTATACACATCTGATGATTCGGATGTGTGAATTTCTGAACTGTGCTTGGGTGCCAGAAAGACCTTAAAATTTTGTTTGATGAATGAATGAATTTAATAGTTCAAAAACCAACCAAAAGCAGGAAAAGTCTCTGTTTACAAGAGTTGCTTACTCCAAAAACTAAGAAAGAGAATTAATCTTTACAAAAATTCCAGAAGTCACAAAATCTTGAAAAGTTTGGATTACTAATTGCTTCCTGCAAAATCTTTGTATCCTGAAGCCTTAGACGGACAGTTTGAACAATGATCCTGATTTTGCTACCTTCATCTGTTACTACAGCATTATGAATCCTTGGGTTTCTTTTCTTCCAAATACAATAGAGAAAAGAACACCATGGAAGCTTCATATCAATAGATTGAAAGGACTTGTTTTCTCTGTAAAGAATTTTGCACAGAAGAATCAGAAACCTTCCTATTATTCCCACAAATTTGGAGAATTTGCTGCCAGACTCTTTTAGTGAACACATAAGTGATGGAGAGGTGATTTCTGTCTTCATCATGAGCATTGCATACAACACAAACTGGATGCATGACCTTGCCCATTTTGATCTGCCTCTTCTTTGCAGTTAATCTGTCCAGAATATCTAGCCAGCAAATAAATCTGTTTCTTGGAATGTGTAGAGGTCCCCCATCCCCCAATCAACTTAAACCAGTCCACTCTGCATCCTTTTTTCGTGATCAAATCCCAAGCCCTCTTAGCAGCAAATTGCCCATTAGGAAGGAATTTCCATGTAACACTATCCCTTTGCAAAGGATAAGGGAAGAGAAAGCCATAAATAGCACATTGGATAGCTTCCTTGGCATCGACCAAGTAGTAGGCTATTTCCTCATCACCTGTGAAAGCTTTGCCGTAGAAGGCAATCCAGATTCAAAAAATGATCCTCTGACCATATTTTTGACCAGGGGTCCATAACTATGCTAAGAGTTCCACCAGAGATAGGTATTCTCTCCATTGCCTACTGAATACTCTATATAGTCCTAAATTAAAATTTGGAAGTTTAGCATTTTTCTTCAATTCCAAGAACAGTCATTAGGGACATGTAAGCACCACAGGCTTTTGCCCTTAAGAAAGACCTTAAAATTGCTTATGTTTTCTTACTTGACATTTATGTCTCTGTATTCTCCTTACCCAAGGCATCTATGTAGTATTTATTGGAAGTGATTAGCTGGGAAACCTTGTCAGGCAATTGTGTCTTTTTCCATGCTTGTTAATGTTGAAATTGAAATAATAAAATGAAAAATAATGTTTATATTGGACATGTACTAGATTGCTTGTTTAGTTAGTACAGATTATCTCACATGTTTTTTGTAATGACATTTAGCATTCAAACAGTATTTCCCTGTAGTGATGCATGACAGCCTTGTAATTTAGATTTCAGTTCTATTCTTTGATCAATTTCCACAGGCTACTGTAGAGAATTTTAAGATTTTTTGTGTGTAGAGAAATTGCAATTTGTTCTGGAGTTGAAATTGAAAGCAGAAGGGGATGACATGGGAGCTGTAGGAACAGTATCTATGAACAGTATCTAGGGAGCTGCTTTGTTATATATATGTATGAAACCTTAGACTCTGACTAGGATCCAACAACTCTTGCATAGAAGTTGATGGACTCTCAGTGCTAAAATTATTGCAGATTACAAACAGCGAAGCTTTATTCCAAAAATATCATTTTACCATTTTGCTTGTCTTCTTGGAAGATGTGGAGAAGGGATGTTACTTTCTATAGCCCTTACTGGCATGGAGTTATTTTATTGTGAGTCTAGTTCTTCGTTTTTTTATTTTTTTTTCAGGAATCTTAATAACTGGTAGCCAAATGATTTTCTTTCTTTTATTCCTTTTCACGAATCTTAGTAACAGGTAGAAAAGGGTTTTCTTTCTTTCATTCCTGTTTTTGACAATTTTGGTTTGCCTTCAGGGGTAGATAAGAGGGTTTCAAGAAGTTTTTTTCCCTAATCCTTTATAATAGCCATTGTCTATTATCTGAACTCATACTAAACCAATTTTAGAAGGATAAATTGCTTTGTGAGATAAAACTTCTGTTGTCCTCGATAGGGTGGACGCTCATGACTTTTTGCAGGTAACAGACTAAATAAGGCACTCTCCCTGGTGTGTGTTAATATGCCGTCATATGAGAAAAACACGAGGAATCTGTTGTCATTGTTCACTTGCGAGGAGATTTTACAAGAAACATTGACTTTGGATTTATTCTTTAGAGAATGCAAGTTCTGTTCTTTTTAGTTATGTTGTTAATATAGGACCTATTAAAGTATTTCCTTTTTTTTTTATATTAGGAAGAAAACATTGGTATCTACTTTTATTTAGTTTTATTTTCTATATTTAGCATGTCATTATTTTATTCTCATAGACAGTTTTGGATGATAAATTAACGTATTCTTCTTCTATACACTTTCTCTTCCTCCTCCGCCATCTCTACCTTTCATCTTCCCTTCCTTCTCTTCTCTTCTCTACATTAGTTGTCCTTCAGCTTCAGTTTCTCAATAGTGTGAGTTCTTACGACTCTGCAGCATGCTTCAGATTTTACAGTTATTGATTACTTCTGCAATTTTTGGCCTCCTATGCCCTTAAAAAGGTCAGTATGTGCTTTTGTACTTTATGAGTGGCTTGGTTTGTTTAAATCTGCCGTGATCCTTTCTAACCACAAATCTCAAGTTGTTGAGGTAGACCCAGTACATTATCTGTGTTGAAGAGGAAATTATCTGCTAAGAAATAAATAAATGAACAGTTCTTGGTTTCTGATGACTATTTGAGCTTTTCATTTTAATATTTCATTTCATGATCTTCTCTCTCTGTGCTTGCATCTGCACACAGCCACACAAAGATTAGTTAGTGTCATAATGTTGAAACTGTATGTTCATTGCAGCAACTAGTTATATATGAGACATCGGCATCGGAGCTGGATATAATTCGTGATATTTCTCGGACCTTCCCTTCACATGTTTTCTTCCAGCAGAGACATGGTCCTGGTCAGAGGTCCCTCTACAATGTTTTGAAGGCTTACTCTGTGTATGATAGAGATGTTGGATATGTTCAGGTTTGAGACTTTTGTCTCTTATGGCTCATAAATTTGCTTAGTTTACTGACTGAAGAATTACAGTGCAATCATTGACTGAACAATTACAGTGCAATCATTAAAAATGCAGGGTATGGGCTTTTTAGCTGGTTTACTGCTCCTTTATATGAGCGAAGAGGATGCATTTTGGTTGTTGGTTGCATTGTTGAAAGGAGCGGTCCATGCTCCAATGGAGGGATTATATCAGGTAATTCATTTATACAAAGAGCTTCCTGATAACATTTGTACAGTTGTAGTTAGCTTAGATTATTGGTTGTAATATTCTATATCCCTACAATCAAATATATAGATCATTATTAAGTCAGCACACACTAGTTGAGATAAAGCAACATGATGCAATGGGATTTGCACTTGTACATCTCAACAAGCTCTCATGTGGAATTGTTGACGTGACGAGTGCCAAAAGGAAGTGTTGTTATCCATCAACTTCCTTGATAATGTAATGGTGGGTCACTTATGACTTTTCACTTAATAGTAGCTTATAGATTACATCCTTTGTTAGCACCAAAAAAGAAAAAAAGAAAAAAGAAAAAAGAAAGAAAGAAAGAAAGAGAGATTGTGCCCTCTGCTGAGGATGTCAGCTTGAATTTCCTCTCTCACACACAAACACAAACACACAGACACGCACACACTCACTCTTACACTTGGAATGTATTGATAAGGAGCCGGAACCTGCTTCATAATATTTTGTTAATCCAAGCTTAAAATTGCAAGCTGCATATTAATCTACATTACAATTTCAAATAACTGTAACCTAGAGAGGGTGGCTTTCTGATTCCTCAAACTCAGGTATAGTCCTACCACAATGGAGTCTTAACTTTGACTCCATACTCCTTGGTATGGGAAAAAAAGATATCACAAGTTTACCGTAGCTACCAAAATTATGAATCCACTTGTTCCAATGGTATCATGGTTATTCAAAATTTGTTTATTTCATGTGATACCAAGAGGAGAGAGAATCTTTTTCCACCTAGTTATGGTGGCATCCTTTTCTGAAGTTTGCGATTGGTTCTAGTAGATTGATCTTTGTACATTCAAATTTTGTATCTACAATAGGTTCACCGCATGCTTCATATAAATGAACTGCTTCATTCTTTGAGAGAGAGTGAGCGTCATGGTGGAATTTGATCTGTTCCACCGAAAATGGGACCATCAACCTTCTCTCTCTCTCTTCCTTTTTCCCCTTTTCTTGGTGGAATTTGAGCATATGAACCACCTGTAACCTGCCATTCTGCTATTTTGAATCGGAGTCCAAGGGAACAGTACCCCATCTAATATCCTTGGGCTTTTAAACTTACACTTTCATACTGTGAGAACTTGCATTTGATACTTATGTGCAGGTGGGTCTACCTCTTGTTCAACAATATCTGTCTCTGTTTGACCGCTTGGTGAAGGAGCATATGCCAAAACTGGGAGAACATTTCACCCAAGAAATGATAAATCCTAGCATGTATGCAAGTCAGTGGTTTATAACTGTTTTCTCATACTCTTTTCCATTCCACTTGGCTCTTCGAATTTGGGATGTGTTCCTGTATGAGGTCAGTTGTTAATATTTTTATATTGTTTGTTTGTTTTTTTCTTTTTTTTTTTTGGGAAGGATCATTACATATGGTCTGGAAGTTGATATGTCTCTGCGATATCTTCTTTGCCAGGGTGTTAAAATTGTTTTCAAAGTGGGTCTGGCTCTGTTAAAATATTGCCATGATGACTTGGTGAGTATTTCAAGATCTTTTCTCGACTCTGAAAGAAATAGCCTCACAACTTGAGCTTCTAATCTGTTTTCTTTTCATTATCAGGTGAAATTGCCCTTTGAGAAGCTTATACATGCTTTGCGTAATTTCCCTGAGGACGCAATGGATCCAGATACATTATTACCTATGGCTTACTCCATCAAGGTTTTTCTCTCTCTGTATGGACGGTGTGTGTTTGTTTAAGCCCAAAAAATTGAGTTTTATTTGAACTTCACATTCTACCGTCTTATTGCACTTATTATATCATGGTAGTTCTAGTTACCTTCATCCATTTTCCTTTATCTTGTATCAGTTTATTCAATTATAAATTATACTAGACTTGTGCCTGAATGACGATCTTTGGATTTCAATCTTTTCAGTCGCAAAACAGATAGTATGTAAGGTAATATTTAACAAAAGTTTGCTGTCTTTAGGTAACAATTTCTCTCTTTAAATTGCCAAAAATTTACTAACATCATCAAGTCTGTTTCAGTTGATTTGATACAACTACTATTTCTGTGCATCTTATGTTTTGTACTCTTGATGAGAATAGTGAAGGTAAGAAATATATCCACGGTAATAAATCTGGTTCCATGTTAAATCATGTATGAGTAAGAATTATTAATGTTTGGAACATGAAATATAAGGGGAGCGATATGCATTATGTCTGTGTATGTGCATAGTAAAATGGTGTTGGATACTCGAGCAATTTGTCTGTATTTTGGATGCTGCTTGAATTATGTCTAGAAACCCACCCCTAGTTCTGTAATCTGTGTAAGCTTTCGTGCATATGAACTGGCTTAGGTTTTTAAGTCAAATTTTATTCATTATTCATGAAAAAGGCGTGGGTTTTATCAGGTGTCAAGGCGACTGGAGGAACTGAAACAGGAGTATAACAAGAAGGATGGAAAGCTAAGTCAACCTACAGAAATTAACGGGAATCAGAAGCAGTTGCAATGAAGGTTTTTCTCTTCTTCCGAGGGAGCTAAGCCTTTAGTTCTTCCATAAATTCTGATTCTTTTATTCGTCTCTCATTAACTATCTTTTATAGAATGAAAAAATGTACTATATCAAATGTTGACTTCTGTCATGGCCATTAAACGTTGGTTCATAGTTGTTTAGTGATGTTGAAAATGTCCACTGAACATGTGATACATACGGATTAGAGAACTGAGAGAGTGGTTTTTAGGGTGACCTTAGTTGTCACGCTAGTCATCTCCTACTAGGATGGGATTCTCTTTTTAATTGTAATGTATTACATATGATAATGATAATGATAAAGATGATGACTAGATTGTGTCTTTTCATCAAATGATTACATGGAAGGTGTGTAATTTCAGTATGATATTCCAAGAATTATTTCTGATGCGTGTCTAATGCCCCTGGATATGCTCTTTCACCTTGTTAACCTTAAAATAATTTGGTTTCAAGACTTCAAGTCAATGGCGACTTTACTTTTTGTTTACGGAGGAGAAAGTAAAGTACTTGTGTTTATTTTATTCAGTTGCAGAAAATAAATTAAATTCGACAGATAACCTAAAATCTTGGAAGGAAGAAAAACCCTTGTTCGCTAACCTATCTTGTGACTGCTCATGCAAACCAACTAAAATAGCTTGTTCATCTGTTTACCCGCTCGAAGGGTTAGCTGATTCATTTCATTGTTATTTGCTTCTTGTTCCTAGTCAACAGAAGTTTCTTGTGCTAACCAGCTCATAAAGACGTGGACTCGTATAGAATTCTTATCCTCCTCAAGTTATCCTTTGGAATGGAAGCGTGCTGCGATGGAGGAACGTGTGGGAGTTTTGAGTTCCACTTTTTCAATGGATTAGAAGAGAGAGAGAGAGTTGAATGTATACGTTGTTTGGTCCTCTGCACCCAGGCTGCAGATATAGATTGTTGCATTCATGGAAGCATAATAATTAGATTTCAAACGAAGAGCCCAATTGAATTGTTTGAATCAAGCATCGTTTTACTGGTAAGTTAAATGCATTTGCTGCATGGTGTTTTGTCTACTGTTTTACTTTTCCGCCAAACATACCAAAGCAGTGGGCTCCAATTAGGGTTGGCAATTTGCTATGTCCTGTCCCAATCAACGCGAGGATTCCCTGTCCCGATCAATGCGAGAATTTTCTAAATTGATTGAGAAATGAGATGGGACGTCTTGCTCCGTATTAATTTTGAATGAGAATGAAACGAGGATAGTATTTTTCCGATTCATTTGTCTCGCGAGGGATGATATAAAAAATATTACTCTACATAGGGCACAAGGTGAGGATGGGCTAAAATTTTTCATCCCCATCTTGGTCCTGCCCCTTTGCCATTCCTAGCTCCAATGAAGCTCCTAACTAGTGGATGAGAAACTTAGAAGTTTTGGATAAAAAAGATGATCTCTTTGTGGAGAATTCTCAGAATTACAAGTTGATGTTCAATCCTTAAAAATAGCTAAGTCATCGTATACATACAAATCTTTTCTATGTCTAATATATCTTAATTAAGATAACATTTCATAGTTAGAATCTGCTCATTATAACATCAAAGTTATATGAAGCATAGAATCTACTCATTTTAAATTCCCAATTAAGAATGACATTTCGTTATCCTTGCAATTAAGAATGAACTTTTCTGGCATTTCTAAAAACATTTGCACTTATTATTTTAAACTAGCAGCTCTTTGAAAATGGAAATTTTTTACAAATTTAATTTAAATTGACCAGCTAATTGAGTTTAATTTTGATTTACATAAGTTGGTTCAAAGATAAAAGAATATATATATATATATTTGCAGAAGGAAATTCTGCTGGAAATCCGCCATGTTATCATAATAGGTATAAATTCAATAAAAAAGAGAAATTTTTATGAAAGCAATTTCGGCATCAAATAAAAATCTAATCTTGATGTAGGAAAAAAGTTGGTTTGAAATAAATCTCAAAATACCCAATAAGTTGGTCATCTCATTTATAAAAAGAGAAAAAAACAAAAAAGATTTCTATATGCGATTAGCAAACAGAGCTTCCATATTTGGATTATGGAAAGGGTAAGGGCTCTTTAGGCCGGGTCGCCTCAAAATTGGAAGGTGGGTCCAGAAAGATGCTGTGGGACCCAATAAGGAAAGCACGACAAGCATGAAAAGGGCAAAAAAGGAACAGAAAAAGGAGGGAAGAAGAGACAACGAGCCAGCCAATAAACGTATGTCGATAGTGTTGGACAAGACATGTGCATCATCTTATCATCACACGATGTTTTCGCTTTGAGACTCTTCCTTGGGCACGTCTGCTCTTCCTGTTCCAACGCATCCGATTCTGTTCCACTTTCAATTTCAGCCTCACATCTGTCATTCAGCCATTGGGTAGATAAGAACATTTGGCGTTTTTTTAGTTTTTATTATCTCAAGAGGTTGATTTGAGAAAAATCATGTTTTTAAGATTTTTTTTAAACGAAAAGGCAAAGGTTTTATCACTACCGACATTCTTTTCCCGAATTGTATTTGATTGGTTGAAATAAGAAATAGCTGTGCGCAAGTAATTCAATTGAAAGTAGAAGAGGTTTTTGATAAGTTAGTAAAAAATAGTAGATTTATCCCAAATTGTTTTGTTTTCTAATAATTTATAATAATTATTAGACATAATTATTCATAGCCTGTATTTGGAATGAATGAATGTTTTATTTTAATAATTTTTTTTTTAAATTTAGAGTTTATATTTTGAACTGATTTAACTTCAACAATCTAGAACTTTCATGATACAATTTCAGTTTAAACTATTTTAAATCAAACTAAATAAATAAAAAATGAATCAAACTTCTTTTGGTTTTTGGGTTTCAGTTTAGTTTTCATGGAAAAATAATTTTTTTCTTAAATATGCTTGAACTTTTGATTGTTATTTGAAGTTTAACGAGTTCGAGTTTACAAAATATTTAAACAATTCATGATTTTTTTTCCACTATGAAATTTATTTGTGAATTAGTGGAATTGTATTTAAATTTAAATATCATATATGATATGATTTTGTACTTTATTTTTATTTTTAAAAAATTAATTATTTTTTTTATATAGGTTAATTTAGATCATTTGGACTAGAAGACTAATTCTATAGTCCACAACACATTTTTTAAACCTATTTATATTATTTCAAAAAATAAAAATCATTTTTAATAAAAAAAAATGAATCCAAAAGTCAAAATTTCAATTAAAAAAACCATAAAATCCAATAATAATATGATTCAGATTTAGTTACTCAAAATATAAAAAACTAAAATTATAAAAATCAAATGCTTACTCCTATTTCCATTTATGTAAAAACATGGAGCAATTGATCACAACAATGAAATTTTAGACCAATAAATTATTGGAATGTGCTAGTCTTTGAATTTAAATCCTCTTATGTTTTCAATATGACTAATCATATTTCAAATCTAATCATTAATTTTGAATTCAATTATCTAAATTAGGTAAGACAAATAAAACACTAATGATTTAAATTGTTACTTTTTTATCATGTACCTATCTAATTTGAATTTAATAATTTTGATTTAATGACACAAAATCATTTTTCTATCCCTCGTAATATATATATATATATATAATAGAATGATATATTCTCGTATAATTTATAGTTTATAATTGAAGACGTGGCACACGTCTATTGATAGACGCAACTAAATGCGATGTAAACACGGTCATAGCACAAATGATTGCCTTACAAATCTCGTAAAGGGTAGTATAGTCATTAAATGACCAAAAACAGTGGCAATGAAATCTTCGAGGAAATTCAGCCGAAGTAAGGGACAAAATTTCGGGGTGGCACGACCGTAATTATCTACGAATCTCATGGTAATTGCAAAACTCCCCAGCCATCTAGCCCATCCTATATAAACCCTGTATTTCTCCATAAACTCACAAGAAGAACGAGCCTTCACGTTATTTGCAAATCTTGCAAAATTAAGCTCATCTAAATCTCTTTCCTCCTAACGAATTTAGGGTTTCTTGATTCGGTGATTGTTTTGCCTCGTTTTCTGTCCAAAACCAATCTTGATTTGTTTCTTTTGCGTTTCTTGAATAGGTAATATACATATCCTTTAAAGTTTCTTTCTGGTTTGATTTGGTGTAATTTGTTGATTTTGTTTAGTTTTTTTTGCTGGATCTGATTTGTAGGGTTTTGTTTGGAATCTGTAAAAGAGGGAGTTTTTGAAGGAGATTAGCTTTTCAAGATTTGATATCATTATTGGTAACTGTTTCATTTTTGCTCTTTTATATGTAATAATAGCATGGATTCTTGTACTATCCTATTTGATTCTTGATCGAATGAAAAGCTTGAAGCTTTTATTTGTAAGGGTTCATTAGGGTTTATGAATTGCTCAATTAAATTTGGTTTTGGACTGAATTGCTTTTTCTTTTTTCAGTTTGCTAATGAAATTTGGTAATAGCTTAATATAAATATTATTTATGATATAATTCAAAGCTGTTTATCCATCCTTTTTAAAAATTAACTGATGCTAATTTATTTTCCTTGATATGTATCCTACCATTGCAAATCTGTTTTATCTTAAATGCTTATCAGGGGTTTCCTTCCCTTTAAGCCTGCTCGTTTTTTCTCCTTTTCTTCTCAATCATTACTTGGGATGAGGGTGATAATTGATCTATACCTTTTCTTAACATAAACATGGGATGATAAACAATGTGAAATTTAAGCTTGCGTTCTGTTAAAAAATGATGTTTTTAATTTCCTATGTGTCGTGATGATACTATACTTGTGGCCTCGGCTTTATTCTGCGTTTTTCTTTTCCCAAACAAATTGCTTTGTCTTCCTTCTTGTCCTGTTACTCCATTTTTTCTAAAATAAAATTTATGTGTTGCTTTTGGAATTCTGTTATTATGCTAATGCTTATTTATGGTTGCTTCTCATTCTATGATGATTGTAGACCTATTTTCTTTGTTGCTATTTGCAAGGTTGTTTTTCGTGCTAATTAAAATTCCTTTGTGGTGTTCTTGTAGACAAGACTGAATGATCTAATGGAGTCTAAAGGTGGGAAGAAGAAGTCTAGTAGTAGTAAATCCTTATTTTACGAAGCTCCTCTCGGTTACAGCATTGAAGACATCAGACCTGCCGGTGGAATCAAGAAGTTCAGATCTGCTGCGTACTCCAACGTGAGTTTGAAGTTAATCATCTGTTTTCCCCCTTGACATTTTATTATGTGATTGATTTCCTAATTTTGTGTCTTGTTCTTTTGTGCAGTGCGTTCGGAAGCCATCCTGAGATTTCCTAACTGTTTACATAACCCCACTTTAGCTCTTTCAAATAACCCCACTTTAGCTCTTTCAAACTGTCAATTTTCTTTAGTCTGTTTTTCCTTTCTACTTCCCTCGTTCTCTCGTACTCTTTTCTGCACTTGTCATCTGTTTACTGTAAGGTGAGATGGCGCTGCCGGTCTCTGCAATCGGATTTGAAGGTTATGAGAAAAGGCTCGAAATATCCTTTTCAGAGCCAGGCTTCTTTTCTGACCCTGAAGGAAAGGGCCTCAGGTCTTTGTCCAAAGCTCAATTGGACGAGATTCTCAAACCAGCTGAATGCACTATAGTAGATTCGCTTTCAAACAACGATGTCGATTCTTATGTCCTGTCGGAATCCAGTCTCTTTGTATACCCTTACAAAGTTATCATCAAAACTTGTGGGACTACCAAATTGCTTCTTTCTATCCCAGTGATCCTTAAGCTCGCTGATGCCCTTTCACTCACTGTATGTTCTGTGAGGTACTCTCGTGGGAGCTTCATATGCCCCGGGGCTCAGCCATTCCCACACCGTAGCTTCTCTGAGGAGGTAGCTGTCCTTGATGGCCATTTCAGTAAACTTGGTTTAAACAGTGTAGCATATGTGATGGGTAGTTCGGACTCAACTCAGAAATGGCATGTTTACTCTGCTTCTGCTAATATGGAGACCCATTCTCGCCCTGTTTACACTCTTGAAATGTGCATGACTGGTTTGGACAGGAAGAGAGCTTCTGTTTTCTACAAAACACAATCTAGTTCAGCTGCTTTGATGACTGAGAATTCTGGTATAAGGAAGATCCTCCCACAATCCGAGATCTGTGATTTTGATTTTGACCCTTGTGGTTACTCTATGAATGCCATTGAAGGGAGTGCAATTTCTACGATCCATGTCACTCCAGAAGATGGTTTCAGCTATGCAAGTTTTGAGGCTGTTGGTTATGATTTTCAAGATTTGAATTTGAGTAAGCTGCTTGAAAGGGTGTTGGTTTCCTTTGAACCGACCGAGTTCTCCATTGCATTGCATTCTAATATTGAGCGTGACGAACTTGGAGCGAAGTTTCCCGTGGATTTGGAAGGTTACTCTTGTGGAGGAGGGAGCTATGAAATGCTTGGGAAGGGTGGATCGATCTTGTACCACAGCTTTGCAAGGACTGGAGGCTGCGCATCTCCCAGGTCAATCCTGAAATATTGTTGGAGTGAGGATGAGAAGGACGAGGAAGTTGAGGAGAAATAGTTCTTTTCAGCAATGTATTTTTTTTTGTTTTTTTGTTTGTTGTTGTCTACTTGAATAAATGTTGTGGGGTTATGATTCTGAGTTTAGAAGCATTGATCATTTAGTTTATGTCTTGGAATAATAACGGGTTTTGCTTGTCAGACCTTTGATGCTTGAAGTGCAAAACAAGTATTTTATAATTCGAATCCTTGCTGTTGATGCTATTTCTTCTTCCTGGTTATCTTTATCTTCGATCTTTCTGCTTTAAATTTACCATCTGCTGTTTTTAATCTCAAAAAAGAGTGCAAATTTTTATCTGGATTTTACTACTGTTAAAAAGTGTCAAGTGTGAGGTGTTCAGTTGCTGAGGTCTATAAAATCTATAAAGCTAGCAGAAGAAAATGAAGGTGCCGACAGCAGAACTGATCACAACTCACGAGGACGGAAATAATGCGCCACTAATGCCATATTGATTGGAAAGATGGGAGAATCAAGCTGCCAGGATTGACTAGGCCTATATAATAATTGGACATGCCATATAATGCAAGTTTTTGCTCATAGGCTGTTGAGTTGTGACACGTTGGCGCTATACTGCAAAATTAATCAATTTTATCTTTAAATTATCATATTTTAGATAAATATTTTTTCATTTGATTTGTTTGGTTAGGACAACATGTAAAATTTTTATGCTTAAAAAGAGTTAAAAATTTTCATTTATATTAATAAAAAATCAAATTTATTTTCAAAAATAATTTCGATTTTTTTTTTTAAATATACAAGGAAGGATTTTTAATTTTCTTAAACATTAAACATTAAACATTTATAAAATTACAAAAAATAGAAAATAAATTGGAAATGATCCTAGAAATTTGTTGGAGGTTCTAAAATATCATATAAATTTATTTTATTATAATTTTCAAAATACTTACATGGTTGACCAAGTTTAACATTTGTCAATTTTAGAAATTACGCAGGCACACATTTTGATAACCACACTATAAATGACTGAATTTTCATTTATGAAAGATTTCAAATGGAAGTACAAAAAAAAAAATTATGATAAATTTTAATCAATGGTCAAGTCAAATGAAAAGAATAATATTTTTCAAAACCATATTAGTTTAAAGATAAAATTACCCAAATTGATAGTATTTACTTTAATGTTTTAATACACCATGTGCTCCTGTACTCTAACAAAATTATCGTTCTAACTCCTGTATCTAGATATAGTTCATAACCGACCTTATATTATTAGAAGTTGGGATAAAATAACTTATTTGTTATGTTTTTTTATTAGTTGACATACGAATGACCAATACAATATCAACACTTGTCATTTTAAGGGTGAAAATATAATTATTATTTTTTATTTTTTTAAGTTAAAATCATTTAAAATTGAAAGGAAAAAAAAAAATTAGTCCCAATGAAATTATTAAATAGAGTCACGGATCTTATGTCTATGTTGCAAATTAAATTAAATTTTTTTGCTACTCGCTTAATTATTTATTATGCAGCTTGCATTTTTTATTTTTTGCGAAATATAATATAAAAAATGAGAGAAATCCTTCACGTTTGAGAAGGATAATGAGGGAACCAAATTATTTTCAAGTTCTAAGAGGTTGTTTGTGATGAGCATGGAATTGATCCCACTAAAAAATACATTGGAACCTTGAACCTTCCATTGGAGCATGTTAATGTTTATTACAACGAGGCTTTATGTGGCTGATTTGCTCCTTGTCCTATGCTTATGGGTCTTGAGTTTGGTACTATGAATAGTGTGAGGACCGATCCTTATGGCCAGTTCTTCGAGGCTTGATAACTTTGTGTTTGGTTAGTCCGGTGCTAGAAATAACTAAGCCAAAGGGAATTACACCGAGGGTGCATAACTAGGCAAAAGGGAATTAAGCTAAGGGTGCATAATTGATTGATTCAATTCTTGATGTTGTGAGGAAGGAAATAGTGAATTGTGATTGTCTTAAAGGTATAAATTGTGTTCTTGTACTAATTATTTTCACTTGTGATTTTATTTTTAGTTTTCTAAGAAGTTATTGATGAGTTTTTAGTATGTGTTGCTTTTTATTAATGAGTTATTAATTGCTTTTTAAGTTTGTCACCTACTTGGTGAAGGAATTGGGTCCGGAATGGCGACTCTATTGATTTATAAGATCGAAGAGGAATACCCCGATATAATGATGCTTCATTTCTTCACATTTTCATCACTTAAGGTTTTTGATATCGCTTCCCTCTCTCATCATCACCGCCCAAATTGTCTATACCATGATCGCCACCCACGTTGCCCTCACTATGACTAACATGATGACAAGAGAGGGAAAGACAATGAAAGATAAAGAGATAGATGAAGAACACATAAATGATTAAGAAGATTGAAATACCATTGAGAATACCCTAGATGAAGAAGATGGACGGACACTCAATGACGAAGAAGATGAAAAAATAAGTTATTTTTAAGATAATTATTTAGTTTTTTTTTTTCTAGGTTCAACAAACTAGAAACATCAAACCATAGTTAGGACTAATCTTTTTTTAAAAAAATGATTTTAACCGAAAAAAAAATCAAGAAAAATAAAATTATGTTTTTACTCGCAAAATAATAAGTGTTGATATTATATTGATCATTCGTAGGTTAGCTAACGAAGTTAGTCAAACTAATAGAAAAACATAACGGATGAATTATTTACACCAACTTTCAATATTATAAGGTTGGTTATAGACTATATTTGGATACAAAAATTATAACGATAATTTCGTTAAAGTAAATAGGCATGGGTGTATTAAACCTTACTTTAATGCACAAACTTGATAGTTTTAGTACTAGAAGTGGCACTAAATTAGGAATATAATGCTAGAATAAAAGGAGTGGCATTATACAATGGACCAGATTGACGTAGGTAGACAAGAGTGCCTTTAATTGAATATGAAAAAAGAAGTTTGAGTTGAATTCACTAATTCAATAGGACTTAAACTATCATGTTATAGTGTTACAAGTGTAAGCTATACGGAATTCTATAAGTAATAAATTTTGATATAATTTACACGATAGAAAGTAGATAAAAGAGTTCTATTAGATAATATTTAGCTAATATTATCCGAGTCTAATAACAATAAATGATTATGATTTCTTTGAGTAGATGTCATGCCTCTACTAAGCTTGTTGAAATTGTTTTGGATTTATCCGAAGTAGAATTATCTAAGGAAGAATTATCTAAAGTAGAGATTTATTCTAACATTCCTCATAAACTAACTATGGGCATTTTCCCACTCGTTAGTTTATCTCGTAAGAAGAAAAATTTTGTAGTGGATAATGGTTTAGTCGAATATTGACAATCCGATCTTACGTGGAAATGAATTTCACTTGCAATCTCCCTTAGGCTACCATATCTCTAACAAAGAAAAAATCAATTTCAACATGCTTAGTGCATGTATGGAAAACTAGATTTATTGCCAAGTATGTAGCCTCTATATTATCACATAAAATATTGGGCCTTGTATTGATTTGGACTTGTAAGCGTGTCGGTATAGAAGTGACCCAAGTAATTTCAACAACTAGGTTGACTACTTGCTTTGTACTTGGCTTCGGTAGAACTTTGGGCTACTCGTCTTCCACTTGGATAATTTCCAAGCTATGAGATTAGGCCCAAGATAAACGAGCATACCCACTCGTTGATTTCTTATCATCTTAAGAGTCCGCCCCATCCGAGTCTAAAAAGCTTGTCGAAGTCGACTGGTAGACTTGTAGACGTGAAACCCATGATTGACGGTAAGCTTGAGATAACAAAGTATTCTTTTAACTCGCTACCTAATGAATTACGGATAAGTTATGCATGAATTAACGGACATTATTCACAACGAAATGAAATATCAAGCCTTGTCGAGTTATATATTGAAGTGCTCTAACTACTCGACGGTATAGAGTGGGATCATCAAATGTTAGACTTTCATCAATTTTTAATTTTGAAGTGGTTGGCATTGGTGTAGTTATCGATCGGTAATTATGAAGTCCATGCTTAATCGAACTTCATTGATATATTTCGTTGAGATAAAAAAATGTTATGTGAAGTCTTGACTACTTCGATACTAAGAAAAAAGTTGACATCCCTAAGGTCTCCGGTGGCAAACCCGGAATTTAAGGAAGAGACAATAGTTTGTACAAAAACAAGATTGTTACCGAGTTATAAGGATATCATCCACATAAATCAAAAGGAAAACTCTATTGTTAGCCATATAATAGATAAATAAAAAGGAGTCCGTTTTAGAGGCCTCAAAATTGAAATCTAATGGGAATGACCGGAGACAAGAGAATTAGACCACGGGTGACTATTTTAGACCGTAGAGGGATCTATGTAGTTGGCAAACAAGGTCTGAAAATTGAGGGTCCATAAAGCCCTCTAGTTGGGCCATAAACACTACTTTAGTTAGAGTGTCATTCAAGAAGGTATTGTGCATATCTAACTGTCGATAACCTAATTTGACGAAATTACTAGAGAGAGAATAACTCGAATAGTTGTTGATTTAACCATCGAGCTAAAAGGCTCACTATAATCAATACCTTATTACCGATGATATCCCTTATCCACTAACTTAAGTTTGAATCTTTCTATTTATCCATTGCCATGCTTCTTAGTTACGAAAACCCATTTGTTACTTACAATGTTTATATCTTTTATGGGTTGAACTAGAGACCAAGTGTTTGTTTTGAGGAGACCATTGAATTTTGATGTCATGGCGGATCACTTGTTTAGAGTATTTATGGGCTTCCAAGTAACATGTTGGATTTCTAAGAACTTAGGAAGTTGCTAAAGCAAAAGAAGCATTTGGCTTAGAAGCAATTTCTTTAGGCCAAAACATCATTGGGTGAGTCCGAATTGGTTACGTAGGTTTGGCCCGAAAAGTACTACTATTCTACTGTTGACCTAAGTTATATGCACGTAGGTCCAAAATTAAATTTAAACCGAGTGAAGGAGGTGGTTTGGGTTGGGCTTGTAATGAGAATTTTATACATA